ATTCATTTAGTCCCAAAATCATCTTAAATTAAGCAGCAGTTTTCACCTTCATTTAACAGTTAATTAAATAAATATATTGAGATCACTTTAATTTATGATATGGACATGTAATTTATCGTGCAGCCCCCATATTACATGACATATTACATGACATATTACATTCTCATGCAGCCCCCAAGGTATGAAAAGTTGGACCACCCTGGTTTAGATACTGGTTTAATATTCTGCATAACGGGAAGTATTTTGCTTCTTTTGCTTTGGGACTCTGATCAAGCAAGCTTGATACATGAAAAGGGATACAATAATAAAGAGAAAGAGAAAGCTTGTCAATGAGAAGAGAACCATATAGATGCTGAGGGAAATTATCATCCCCCAAGTATGGACAAGTGGCTTGCTGCCACCACCATATTCTCAGACTGACACAGACTGCACTTCCATTTGGATGCATGTACACAACAAGAAATGCCAAGCTGTGAAAAATCTACCAGTCAAGCTGGGAATGGGCAAGTTTATTAGGTCTGAGGGCCAGTTTCACACTGCAGCCACCACACTTTACAAAATACCATCACCACCACTTTGGCACCAAAAGAAAGGAACGGAAAGAAGAAAATAATGACAAATTGGAACTAGACAGATATGAAGTGAAAAAGAGCAAAATCAGTTTGTTTCAACACTCCTGAAGTTTTAGAGTAGCTACAGAACACCAAAAGTCCCAAAATCACCCCCTGTGAAATAACTGTTTTAGATTCCTCCCTCTGCCTTTAAAGACAATTAAAACAACAATTAATAAATCTCAAAACAAACAGTGCAACTAAATTTTAAAACTATTAAATTTTAAAATACTGTTTAAATAAAAAGGTTTTGGCCTGGCACCGAAAAGAGTATAAACTTGGCACCAGGCGTACCTCTCTGAGGAGTACATTCCAGAGTCTGGGCACCTCAGCAGAGAAGGCCCTACTCAGAGTTGATGACCTTTTTTTACCTCTCTTAGAGAGGGTTTCTGGAGTAGGGCTTCTCTCATAGATCTTAAGGGGTATGAAGGCATATAAGGAAGGAGACATTCCTTCAGGAACATAATACTGTTTTGAGAGCAGCAGAAGTTACAGTGGGAGGTCACACATCCCACCCCTGAAATAAATGAATGTGATGTGAAATATACGAATATATCGAATACATCAATTTTCCTCTAACTAAGTAGGAACAGCATAGCAGAGACTTTCAGAAGAAAGCAAAGAAGGAATCAAAATAACGTATCCCATCATTACACCGGTCATAATTACATATGGTTGAATGACTAAAACATTCATTAGCAAAGAAATATAACACCCAGTACATTTACTGTAAATTATACTTTATGAGGCACAAAATATTTTGGCCATTATGGCTTTGAGATGCACAAGAGGGTGATCAGACCCATCTCTAAGCTACATCTGTAACAAATCCTGGAAAATGCTTAGACCAACAGACTAAGGCTTAGACCAACTACTACAGGCTTAGACCAACTACTACAAATATCAACATCAAAAGACAGTACAAGAAAAAGAAGCAAAGAGACTGCTTTGACCTGTACATGAATGCATTCAGGAAAGTGAATTGCCAGATCTCATGTTGCAGAAAATTTCATGATCCAGTCACTGCTGCTGAGATGATCCAATATTCCATCCCTGTCCTCCACATCTCAGAGTGTGGAAGGATACTTAGGAGGGATTTCCAATTATTTGTTGGGAAAGATTATGCAAGAGGGTATGGCCTTTAAGGTATTAAGGTAGAAAAGGACTTAATAGTTATAAATAAAAAAGTTAGAGATAATTTCTGATGATATACTCAATTTATAAACTCCATCAAAACCAAGGGTTCTGGAGAGCCAGAAAGACTGAGTATTGTTCTATGACCTTTGGTTGGCCTAACAACAGTATTGCCCAAACAAAGATTTGGCATTTTTTTCTTACGGTCAGCATGGCTGCTTTTGCTCTTTATCAGTTGTTAATCTGTAATGACATCTTGTAAGACTTTTACAGCATCAGTTCCAACCATAATTTTTCAGCAGATACTTTGGAATCACTGAAATGCAACTACTGGTGATATTGTTTAATAAATATGTAATAGTATCAGTGATTCTACCATTCATATTACAACAGCCTGGAAACCCACATAGACTAGCTCCCAGTTTTTCCCACTCTTTCAGGCTTTCCCCAACCTGACTGTTTCACTCTAGACAAATACAAAATTAATTATATGATAACTATATACTACTTAAATCAATCAAGCAGCAGCAAAAATGACTTTTGTGGCAGGTGTAAATAGCCTTTCATAATTTTGTTTCCTAGGATGTGTCTTTCTTGCAAAGGAGTTATGCATTTAAAAAAGAACCACACTGAAAGTTACATTCTCAGCAGGTATTTAGTATACTAAAAAGAAAACTACATACTATTTTTATAATAGTTTTTCCAGTGCCATTGCATGTCTAAAGTAAATAATTTTAATGCATAGTATAAGTCTATTGCAGCAGCTTCTCAGTCATCCCCCCACAACCATTACTGGAAATATAGCCTGTGGATATTGCTGAACACACATAAGCATGTGTATTTCAACAATACAATAGGTAAAATACCAAGTCCATATGAAATAATATTCTACAGTATTCATAAGGAGGGGCATTAGACTCTTCCCAGCAAAACTAAAGACAGGCTTATGAATGAATGCAATGTTTCCTGATATATCAACAGGTTCCCAAAGCTTTGAGCTTACCCAATTGTCAAAATGAGATGGAAAACCCCAGGAAATGCATTTAATACCTTGCTGTGCAGGGCATGATTTACCTTGATGAAATATTTTTTAATTATTACCTCATTCTGCAATCTTGCAGAAACACATGAATAGTGCCTTCAACACAAATACCTACTTTCACCAATTCAAATAACAAAACTTATTTAAATAATTTTGCAAACTAACAAAAACTGAGCAGGAGGTTGAACCCTCATGGTTTTACTGGCCCCTTTCAGTTCTACTATTCTAGGGTTCTATGTGAATACTGAGCAACTGTAAATAGTTTATATCTTTGACTCAACATCATATTGGCACTAGCAGTGCTTTAACGATACCAGTATTAAATTTCTGTAAACTGTATCCCCTTAAACATATCAATATTAAAACAAACTGTGACTGTAACAGTAGCACTGCCATTCTGTCAGGATAGGTCAGATACAAATATTTAGTAAACATCGAGACTTCATCTCAAAACAGCATTTCAAAGTCACCAGCATATTTTCAGGTTCAGTTTTTGCAATAAAATTGGGATATGGTGGTTAAAACTTTGTCACAAATGCATGTTATATGCCATGAAGTAGCTTTGCTTTTCAGTTTGCACACAGAATAGGATGTTCCCATTCATTCAGCTGTTCCATCAGCTTTGCCGCAGCAAATCTCGCATTCAGAAGAGGCACCAAATCGCACATAATTGGAAGTGATTCATTTCTAGACCCCATTTTTTCCTTCCCATTTGGTTTCTCTAGATTACTGAAGCTCTGGTGTAGGTAGTGTTAAAATGTTGCCATAGATCTCTACTGTAACTCGCTCACGCTACAAAGTGACTAAGGCCAATATTTAGCAAATATGAAATGTTGCTTTTTCTCTACTGGGGGAGGAGGAAGAAATCCGCACAGTGTAGGGATGGAGAGTGGGCAAGAAAGCTGTTTCAAACAATGAGGCAAATAAGCCACCCAGTGCAACAGAAGTAATAAAGCCCACCCCATCAACAGATTGTACGAGACAAAACCTCTCTTCAGCATGTCAGACCCAACTGGCTGCAAGGTAATAGGGTTAAATCATTCACACATTTCAACCACAGAGGAAAGACGCCATCTGGGGCTGTTCCTTAATCTTATACAATTAAAAATAGATGTATTATAAATCCTCTGTCTGGCACCAGACTATATTCACTAGACTATATAGCTACCATTAAATATTTGAGAAGAATAAAATTAAATCTATTTTTACAGAACATGGCATTTGAAGAAGCAATGTATAGAAGTGTGTTGCCCTATGTGACAGAGCAATATTCCATACTCTCCTCTAGTCATAGGCAAAAAGAAAGTCAACTGAAAACAGAAAGAGTCAGTAGGTTAGACAGAAATGGAATGAGTGTGCATCACACAAATAATAAGTATGTGGTGCAAATGGAATCTGACGGAAGCTGAACACAAACATAAGTGTTATGGGAAAAGCAGAATCAATCCCTGTCTTTACAAAAAAGCATCCTTGATGGAAGAGGAGTCACCAGAAATTCAGACTAAAGGCAAGGAAAAAGGTATCACTTCCGGAGGTGAAAGATTTGTCCGCCTCGGGCTTTGGGGCGGATTAGTAGGGAGCTATAAGAAGTCTGTCAGAATGAGGCACCAAGGATCCCACAAGTAGGAACAGAGGCAGAACATTTGTTAAGCAAGACCGTGAGGACACAGGGAGCTCTCTAAAGTCCGGCAGAAGATAAAGGGAAACCTCCCAGGGTAAATGACAAAGGAGCTGAGGAAAAACGATTCCTTTGCCCTGTGTGAGTTTTATACTAGGAGAAAAAAGACAGAAAGGGAATTCAGGAAGAGAGCAGACATCAGGACCAAAATAGGGACGTGGGGGAGGGAGCAAGGGTGGGATAGAAGATGACAGAGCAGTTAGAACAGTTTTCCCAAATGTGGTGTCCACCAGATGTGCTGGACTACAACTCCCACAATCCTCGAGGATTGTGGGAGTTGTAGTCCAACACAGCTGGCAGGTCATCGCGCTGAGGAAGCCTGAGTTAGAGGGCACTAGAGTAGTTAGGGACTTGCAGAGCTGGAGTCGACTGTGTGTGCAAAGGAGGGCAGGTGCAAGAGCTTGAATCCCATGCGTGGGGGGAGGGAGGGAGCCGCGGGAACAGCTTTGGGCAGGAGGACGCGGCGGCGACAGGCTGCCCTCATGCCCGGAGGCCCCGGTCCCGGAGCTGCGGCAGGTGGCCGGCGCGCCCTTACCAGGTTTAGCACGGTCTCCACGATGTCCCGGTTGCTGACCTCTCCGACCTGAATGAGTCCGATCAAGACGGCGAATTTCATGCGGATGTTGCGGATGGGAACGGACGGATTAATCATCCCCGCGGGCAGCACGACAGACCCGGAGCTCGACGCCCGCAGCTCCCCCATCACGGCGGCCGAGACGCCGCCGCCGCCGCCCGCCGCCGCCACCACCGTCTGTGCCGGCGGTGCCGCGGCTGCCGCTGCCGCCGCCGCCGCCGCTCCAGGACCGCCAACTCCGCCGCTGCTGCTGGCCCCGACAGGAATGAGCCCCGCCGGCTGCGGCTCCGGCCCCGCCACCGGCTTCTCGCTCGCCATCTAGCCCCGGCTGCTGCCACCCCTACCTGCCGCCGCGCTCCGCCCCGGCCAAGAAGCTGCGCATCCACCGCAGCGCCCGACCCGCCGCCGACGCAGCAGCGCCCGGCGGGGCCGCAGGGAGCGGAGCCGAGCCACCGCTGCCGCCGCGCCGCCGCCGCCGCCGCCGCCGCAGGACCGTCCCGGGAGCCGCTCCGCGCTCGGCTCTATAATGAGCGATTATTATGGGCGCCGCTGCCCCGCTAGCCCAAGCCGCTTCCTCGCCCGCGCCCGCTCGGGCAGCGACGGGCACAGCCGCAGCGCAGCGGCCGCGGCCGCCCGGGGCCGGGCAGGCAGGAGCGAGCGAGCGAGCGAGCGAGGAGCCGGGAGAGCTCGCCGCGCCGTTGTTATGGAACCAGAAGCGCCGCCGCCGCCGCCGCCGCTCACTCCGCCATGTTGCCGCCCCCTGCCTGCGGTAGCCGCCAGGGCGCCTGCGCCGAGGCGCCCGCGGGGGCGTGGCCGCGCTCTCAGCAGCCCCCTCTTCTCCGCCTTCCCCGCGCGGCTGCCTCGCACTCGCTGCCCGGGACCGGCGAGAGGCAGGCGGGCGGGCGGGCGCCTTCGTTCAGCTGCCGGGCTTCGCGGAGGCCGTGCGGGCGGGCGCGGGGCGGGGGCCCTCAGAATTTGTCTGCTTGCTTGGTTAACGGCGTCCCCGCCCGCGGGTCATCCCAGCTGGAACGGGCGACGCGGCAGCGGCAGAAGACGGGCGGGCATGGGAGGTCCGCTTGCTGCTGCCGCTGTGCTCCGGCTCCGCAGAAGCGGCGCTGCGGAAGAGGCAGGTGGCTGCCGTGCTCGTCCGCCCCTTGCCGCCCGCCCGGGAAAGCCGCGCGGGGATCGAGGCGCCTGCCAAAAGCGCGGGCTTCTCCTTGCCGGGAAAAGTAAACGCATCTTCTGGAATCCTCCCGATGTTTAGGTGGAACTTCCCGAAATCTGTACCCGAATGACAGAATACAGCCTTGCCCTTGCGCTGGACAGCACCAGTCACGGTTTGTGGTGCAAATGTGGATGGGTGACACGGCTCCTCATACCTGACGTCCCTCCTGAAGTACCATCGCATCGCTTCTCACTTCGCTATGCATGGACTGCAGAATTAAAATTACCAACTGGTATCCAATGCTTTGTTGGCATTTTGATGGCAGGCCCCTCATATTCCCTTAAATCCTTAGTGATATCACACTTCTAAAGCCCTAGATTCAGTTGGGCATTGGCACATCTGATGCTGATACCCTGAAGGGTTTTCAAGATTGAAGTCTGGAGACCCAATCCCTTCTCCAATTCTATTATCACTATCAGAACTTGCAGGCAATTCCTTGACTCCATCATAGAAATTGAAATCCATTTGGGCACTGCTATGATACCAAAAATAGATCCAGAACATAGAGCTCTCCACTTTGTTTGTGGTATCCTTTCAAATCCACCAAATCACAATTCAAGTCCTTTGCAGCAGGTTGCATCACAAAAATTACAGACTTTTTTTGTAGTTCCACAGCACGAACACATGGATCTGAGTAAGGAGTTCTTATCTGAGGAAGGGGTTCATAATCTATTATCATTTTAACACTGTATAACACAGATTAAAAATATATTTCAAGTAGCAGTGGTTTAAACTGCTTTGCTGCTGGGCTGGTAGAGCGAAAGGTCACCGGTTCAAATCTGCACAATGAGGTAAGTTCCCGTTGCGCAGTTCCAGCTCCTGCCAACCTTGCAGTTCGAAAGCATGCAAATGCAAGTAGATAAAAAGGTACCACTTCGGTGGGCAGGTAACAGCGTTCCATGCACTTCGGTGTTTAGTCATGCCAGCCACATGACCACGGAGACTGTCTGGAGACAACCGCTGGCTCTCTTGGCTAGGAAATGGAGATGAGCACCGCCCCCTAGAGTCAGGCATGACTGGACGTAATGTCAAGGGGAAACCTTTACCTTTTATTAGTGTAGTAAAACTGCTTCTTTGCCCCTGTTTGTATGCTCACCATTAGGGTTAACAAGGCTGATGGGATCTTCTCAGTTGGGGGGGCACAGTTGTGAATTACATTTGGCCCCTCTTCTGAATGAATTACAATATGCTCTTTAAACAATCCTTTAAACGTATCTTGTATAGACTGCTTCTCCTTAAGAATGCGTGTGTTTGTGTGTGCATGCAAGTGGCTTTATTTAATTTTTATGCCACTCTCCTCTGGACAGTTGCAAAAACTACAGAACAAACACATAATAAAACAACTTTAAATACAAAATTGATAATGGTTTAAACCCATTGAAATGCTTACAATAAGAATCCAGGATCTGTTAACAGAACTGACATAGAAATCCATCAAATGCTATCAAATGTCTGGGAGTCAGACTTAACTGGAAAGAACATTCTACAACTAGAAGGAAGACCTTCTTATTCACACCCCCCAAGCTTGCCTTAGAGAAGGCACTCAGAAGAAGGCCTCAGACGATCATAGTGTATGTGTAAGTTCACAATGAGAGAAGCACTCCATCAGTATTGCAATCCTGAACTATAAAAGGCTTTATAGGACAAAACCAGCTAAAAATCATGCAGGGGCCAGCACAAGCCAGCCTAAATCAGTGTTATATTCAGACTTCCTGATCCCTTCTGTCAATATGTCCACTATGTATCAAATAAGTTACAGCTTTTAAATTATCTTCAAAGGCAGCCCCACAAACACTAAAGGCATTACAGTAAAGTAACTTGGAGGTTATTAAAGTGTATACTACTAATTCCAGATAGGGACATAGTTGGGTCACCTACTGAAGGTGATAGAATGCCCTCTTAGGCCCTGAAGCTACTTCAAGTAGTAACAATATCTGCAAAGGATATCCCACAGTTACATACACACCACTATGAATATACTCCTTCAGGAGAACATGCTGAGCACCTGTCATATATTCAAAACAATAATCCACCAACAGCACCAGAGTCTTGTCATGCGAGTTTTAGTTTATTAGTCACCATCTATCATGCATTGTACCTAAGCACTGATTTATCACATCCAGTCTTACTGGATGAAAATGGCAATGCATTCCCAAATCTCTGATAACCCCACCCAAAGGCTTTATGTAGATGCAAAAGGAGTCCAGACCTATTCCTGATGAACCCTACATTGGAGAATCCACATGGCACAGCAATCTCCCCCAAGCACCACCTTCTACGGCCAAATATCCAAGGAGAAGCAACCCTCATACAACCCAGACAATTGACCCATTAGAATATCATAGTCAATGGTATCAAATAATCAGGGAGACTTAATAGTTGCAGTTTCCTTGTTACTCTCCTGATATTTACTGTACCATCTATAGTACCATTTAAAACAGGATCGGACAATATTCAGCCTCTGGACCACATGTGACTCCTTGACATTAAGCACAGCCAATGTAGTTTGCTGCTCCTACTGAATTCACTGCAAAAGAATGTCAGTTTGCCCCTACAATTCATTGACAAACTACAGTGGTGACCTAGAAGGGTCAAATTTAACTTTAAAGCACTTGTTTAAAGGTAAACTTCTGATTGCTTTGATGATAATGATGCTACTGAAATTCAGCAATACCCAGTTCAACTCCAGAAGTGGGGGTGCAGCTTCTGTGCAGTTTTGTGAGGGGGTGTAATTGGCTCCAGAGCCCAAAGTTGTTCAACCCTGATTTAAAATTACAATGTTTTAAATCTGAAGTTCTGCTTCAGAAATATAAACCAATTTGTAGTGTCTGTTTTGTTTATGTATCTTTTTGTTTGTGTGTATGTATCTTGTTCTGTAAGTGCCTAGTGAAATATATAACAACAACAACCACAAGAACAACAAGTGTTCAAAATGTCAGTAGGGAAATGTACAGACATTGTTCTACTTGTGTAAATGCGTTTTCCAAAACTGTTTTTCAAATTTCAGTTAGGGATTCTGCTTTTACATATGCGCTGCCCACAAACCCATAGGGAGGAGGAAAGATGGAACTTCCACACAAAAGGAGACCACAGCAATCAGAGCATCTTACTTGTGTTGTAAAGAAAAGGGAGTGGGAGCTGTGAGCTTGCAAAAATAATAAAGGGTGACTACAGGGTGACAGCAGACATTATGATAATCCTTAACAGCCTTTGGAACACGTGGCCCTTTGGGTTTTGTGCTCTTTTTCCTCTCCTATCCATAGAAATGCATTCAATTCATTTTCTGAAAGCTCTGGGATAATTACTTACTTGGGAATTGCTTGCCCTGAATGAAAAAGAGATCTGTGAATTAAAGTCCAGAAATGCCTTAAGGATATATACTATGCTAAAGACCAATAGCATCAGCCCAAGAAGCCCACTGAACAGACTGAAATCATGTCAAATTGAATATGTGGAGTTATGCCAAAACTGTTCTCCAGCGAGAATACCTACACTTCCGTATCCTGTATAAGAAGCCATAGGTCCCAGTATTGTTTCTGTACCTGGGCTATATCCCATTGTGTTCAAGGAACTTATATTTCAGTAGACCTTCTAGAGTGATTCAATAATAAATTGCCTGCTGCTCAACCAGCAAATGAATTGCCCAGAGCTTTTTTTAAATCCATTCTGTCAAGAAGCAGGCGAGCCTAGCAAGAAGAGTGAATGAACTTTTCCAAACAGAGCCAACTTTAGATTAATGACTTATTCAGATTTTTAAATCTTTTTCCGCCCCAATGTCATTTACCATGCTCATTGGCATGTACATTGTCCTAACCCAGTTTTATCAGTCACTCTTACTGAATTTAATGTAAATTACATCATAGTAAATGTGCTTATAATCCCCATGACAAATTTCAAATGTTTGAGCA